ACCCAATCCCGATGGCAAACACCGGGGGGGGCGGATGAGGGTGGGGGGGGGGGATAGGCCTTATTTGTTCCCAGGGGGGAACATTAAGACACAATCCCCGGGGTTTCGACATTTTTCGGGCACTTTTTCCCGCGCGCGCGCGCGGGATCCCACGCAGAGCTGGTGGAAAATATGGAAACACCCCAGAATACGCGTCAAACTTGGTCGCGAGGACGAGTGTATGGTGTAGAAAATAGTTCGACGATACGAAAGGCTACAAATTAAATAAATAAAGGTGTTTTATGGGCTTTAGAATGCGGCACGAAAGTCTATTCAATGAAGAGTATATTGGTTTTACTATGGATACACTAAGTACTACAAAATAGACTGCTGCATGTGAGCCGCCTAAAGTTGTGATCCTGCGTGTCAATCTTGGCCCGGGAGGGGGGGGGGGGTCCACGGTTTCCAGATGGAGGGACTCTTGAGTGTTGTCGTGTGGGTTTCTACAGCACCACCAATTGCCGCTTCCCGTCCCGATATCAACAATTTCATCTCCTGGTACTGTCGGCCGCTCTTCTACGAAAACTCAAAGAAAATCAGTCGGACCAAGAAGAAGGGATAAAGTCTTCCATATGTAGTCTAGACTATTGGACATAGAACGGAATCACGTAGAGGAGCGATATCTACATAAGTCTACAGGAGGCTGGCTGTCTTCCCACTATTTATCTCAACGCTCAAGTCAAGTCCGCATACGACGTATGACGATACAACATACAAGTCCCTTTGGCTTACCAAGTTCCTATGAGCACGTTGTCGACCAACTTGCACTGGCCGTGTACATCTAGCAGCAGTACTCGGGGTGTCTCTTTCCCACGTTCTTCCTCGTCCCGTTCTTCTCGGTTTCTGCTACTCGGCCGTGCCGCCTGTGTCCAGCAGCAGCGGGACTCCAAAGCACCGATGGCGGTCTCAATAGCTCGGTGGTAGCTCTGGTGCACTCCCCGCGCTTTTGCGCAGGAAGGATGCACTGCTATGGCATCTTCGTCTTCAAGTGGCCTATTGGCGTCTATATACTTGCGGTGGAACCGGGCAACCACCGCCGCTGGCGCTCTCACTGCCGTTGCAAAGCCGCCATTGCCGCAGCTGCTGCACCTTTGCGTCAATCGTCGATCGATTTCTTCCAGCAGCTGAGAGGTCCCTGCATCGGTGACAAGGTTTACCCCTGCCAACCTGGTTTTGCCGGGGACGTCAACACTTCCTCGTGGCAAAGGATTCACCACAGGCCTTTGCAGGAGCGTCTCGGACTGGTCCCCGTCTACGGCGTTCCCGCCGTGAGCAGCGCAGAGGACAACTGGTAGCGTTGCGCTAACGGTGCGGGACTGCACGAGGCTGGCAACTCCGTGATCATCCCAGTGCAACGAGCCCATGGAGAACGTTGCCCTGCATGTGTTCGTGCTTGGTTGCAAGAGGTGAGCGTCGCACTGCTTCAGCTCGCACCTGGCGTCTGGATCGGACGATTGGATTCGGGTAGCTGGGACGAACCGGCATAGGTCGGGCCGATTTTGTATGCGCGTCGCGCGTGGGTGTGTGGCGAATGAATCCTTGCATCCCCTGGTGCGTAGTCTGTGGCGTTAGAGTGGGTCGCAGTGTCGCAGAGCTTGTCGAGGCTTGCAACGTAGGAACATGGGTTGGAATGTCGGTGGTATCAGACAGATCCTCTGCCGATCGCTGGAGGGCCTCCTGCACAGAGACCAATCCTTCGCGCAAGCCTTCGTCGGAGATCGCCGCACCTTTGAACGCATTGTGAAATCTACAATTGTTGCCGGAGGGGACCTTCGATCCTCGCGAATGGAGCGCTCAGCGGGCCTGCACTGCATCGTCCTCGCTTTCCGACTTGCCCGAATCGATGACTTCACTTCCGAAATTTCGCTGCCCGTGCTGATCGCCGGGGCTCTCAGTGGTGTGGTTCAATACCCGGCCTCTCGACAAGAGCAGCACGGGGAGGAAAAGCGACATACGCAGAACGCGGCGATGCTGTCCCCGGTGACCAAACAGGATGGCAATAACGACGGCCAGCAAGTTGAAGAGGCTTCTTGGCCATCAACCCAGCTGTTTTCTGCCCAAGACCTGGCTTCGCACGCCCTCGTCCACCTCATGGTACGTACATTCGGGGCAGTGCTGCTGGCCTTACGTTGACGTGCGGCCGCAATTTGTGAGACTTAATCCCTCAATGTCGCCACTGCAAGTGGTGTGGACTTTAGCTGAGATAGTGGCGGTCTTACAACTGTCGATGAACATAGTTGGTTTGTTTCCGGGCTTCTCGTTCGGTTAAAAAAACTGGCATCACACTCTCAAATGCATCTGCTCTCCTGTACAGATGGCGCTCGCACTTAAGAACTTAGCAGTTAAGAAATGCAGCCTCGAAAAATTCAAAACCTAAGAACTTGGCCATAAGAGCACGCGCTCAGTTCCAACGTGGTATCAAGAACAAGAACCCGTATTTGTGGTGTAAGAAAGCGCTCACGAATACGGACAGACCCCCCAAAAGTGGCAGCTGCAAGATAAGAACTCGTGAAGGTGGTGAGGGGTGACTCACGGACACACCCCCACCGGCAGATTCAAATCACCGACAAGGAGGGGGNGGGGGGGGGGGGGGGGGGGGGCGTACTCCTATGGTTTGCATTTAGTGCTTTGACCATTGACCACGCGTCCTCAAGAGGACGGAGTATTGTTCCAAAGACCGATGACCAATCGTTCCTTCCTACCTTACCGGAAAAAATGTGTCTCAAAACGTTTTCCCTAGCCTAGATATCCTATCGATGTCACCTCCCGCCTCTTCAACCCACGTTCAATGTCCCAGTACAGCTATACCGGCTTCTCTCCTTGATGGTATTCCACGCCTCAAACATCTCCCTGTATCTTCCTTCTACTTTCCCATGGCTCAGCCACGTAAAATCTCCTCTCCCTGTGCAACAGACATCCCGCAACTACGTGAACCCGGTTGTTCGTACTCGGAGCCGCGTTCACATTTTACGTTTGTCGGTGCGGAGGGGGGAGGGTGGGTAGGTGCTTAGCTTTGTTGTACAAGGCATACCCCTCATTGCGTGTCATTGGGGTGCCTGCCACGATGCGTGCCATGCACGAGAGCCATGTCTTTACCCCTTGAAACATCGAAAGGGCTCGGTCAGCTGCCAAACAAAGATGAAAGGAGGTGTAATTCTTGATCGCACTTAGAGGCCATCACAGATTATGTCATTGCTGGCAACTGCCCACGAGAAGTCAGACTGGGAGGCCATCGAGTCGACGCGGGGGCGACGAAAGCTTTCCGACACTTTTTATTCCTTCGCCGCACTCACCGGTTTTCGAATTCAAGCGCCTAAACCCGCTGCTCTTGACAGTTCGTTGCTGCATGTGGAGTACTCGTAGAACTGAGCATGGGCTGTTTTGGTGAGGTGATCACTCGGCCGTCTCAGGAGCGTACCCGTCACCTCTTGCGACTACCGTGTGCATTTCGAGCTACATGTGGACCAAAGCGCCGCATGAATGCCGTTGGACAAGGACAGTGGAGATGCGGTTGCGGCGGTAGGGTCGTGGGCGTTGCTTGAGGAGAGCGCGCCGTAGAGCAGGGAGGAGGTCCGGCATTCGAAAAGCAGGGCGCGATGTAGTAGATAAAGCGGAGAGGACAATCACGCCGCACGTGACCCTTGTGGACCTGTAAATGGTTCAACGTGTTTGCTCAGATGGGTCATTATCTCAGGCACTCTACCCTATCGTGATCTGCGGTACGTCGATTCCGGAGGTCTCTGTTGAGCGA